ACTACCGTCGTTTTGTGGAGGGGTTTTCATCGATTGCAGCCCCCATGACCAGGTTGACTCAGAAGGGTACTCCGTTCCAGTAGACAGAGGAGTGTGAGGCGAGCTTTCAGAAGCTCAAGACAGCTTTCACCACAGCCCCAATTTTGATATTGTCTACAGGTTCGGGGTCTTATACGGTCCATTGTGATGCCTCGAGGGTTGGCCTCAGAGCGGTGTTGATGCAGGAAGGTAGGGTGATTGCCTATGCGTCCAAACAGTTGAAGATACATGAGAAGAATTACCCTGTTCACGACCTTGAGTTAGCTGCCATTGTTCACGCTCTAAAGATTTGGCGCTATTATTTATACGGGGTTCCCTGTGAGATTTTTACTAACCATCGAAGCTTGCAGCACCTGTTCAAGCAAAAGGATCTAAATTTGCGCCAGAGGAGATGGTTAGAGTTGCTGAAGTATTATGATATCACTATTTTGTATCACCCGAGCAAGGCCAATGTGGTGGCCGATACTCTAAGTCGTCGGGCAGAGAGTTTGGGGAGTTTGGCTTATTTACTAGCATCAGAGAGGCCTATGGCGATGGATGTTTAGGCCTTAGCCAGCAGTTTGTGAGATTGGATCTTTCGGAGCCCAGTCGGGTTCTAGCTTGCGTGGTTTCTCGGTCTTCTTTATTTGATCGTATCAGGGAGCGACAATATGATAACCCTCATTTGCTTGTCCTCAAGGACAAGGTTCAGCACGGTGATGCTAGAGATGTGACTATTGGTGATGATGGGGTATTGAGGATGCAAGGTCGGATTTGTGTACCCAATGTTAATGGGCTTCGGGAGTTGATTCTAGAGGAGGCTCACAGCTCGCGGTATTCCATTCATCCGGGTGCCATGAAATGTATCAGGATTTGAGACAACACTATTGGTGGAGGCGGATGAAGAAAGATATAGTTGGATTTGTAGCTCGGTGCCTTAAATATCAACAGGTGAAGTATGAGCACCAGAGACCGGGTAGGTTACTTCAGCAGATAGAGATTCCAGAGTGGAAGTGGGAGCGTATCACCATGGACTTTATAGTTGGGCTCCCACGAACTTTGAGAAAGTTCGATGCTATTTGGGTTATTATGGATCGGCTGACCAACTCCGCTCACTTTATTCTTGTGTGTACTACTTATTCCTCGGAGCGGTTGGCAGAGATTTATATCCGGAAGATTGTTCGACTACATGGTATTCCAGTGTCTATCATTTCAGATAGAGGTACTCAGTCACATCACTGTTCTTTAGGGCCATTCAGTATGAGTTGGGTACTCGGGTGGAGTTGAGTACAATATTTCACCCTCCGACAGACGGACAGTCTGAGCGCACTATTCAGATTCTTGAGGATATGCTCCGTGCGTGTGTGATTGAGTTTGAAGGGTCTTGAGATCAGTTCTTGCCATTGGCGGAGTTTGCTTACAACAACAACTATCAGTCCAGTATTCAGATGGCACCATATGAGGCTTTATACGGGATACGGTGTAGATCCCCGGTGGGTTCGGCTAGATTGTTGGGCACAGACTTGGTTCAGGATGCTTTGGAGAAGGTTAAGGTGATTCAGGATAGACTCCATACAGCCTAGTCCAGACAGAAGAGTTACGCGGACCGGAAGGTTCGTGATGTTTCTTATATGGTTGGAGAGCAGGTTCTGCTTTGGGTTTCACCTATGAAGGACGTTATGAGATTTGGGAAGAAAGGGAAGTTGAGTCTGAGGTTTATTGACACTTTTGAGATATTGGGGCGTGTTGGAGAGGTTGCTTATGAGCTTGTCTTACCTCCCAGCTTGGCAGGGGTTCATTCGGTATTTCATGTTTCGATGCTCCGGAGGTATCATAGTGACCCGTCACACGTGTTGGATTTCAGTTCAGTCCAGTTGGACAAGGATCTATCTTATGTTGAGGAGCCAGTGGCAATATTGGACAAGCAGGTTAGAAAGTTGAGGTGAAAGAACATTACATCGGTAAAGGTTCAGTGGCAGGGCCAACCGATCGAGGAGGCGACCTGGGAGACCGAGCAGGATATGCGCAGCCGTTACCCTCATCTTTTCACTACTTTAGGTATGTCTCTATGCTCGTTTGAGGACGAACAAATGTTTAAATGTAGGAGGATGTGACGACCCAGCTGGTCGTCTTAAGAATTTATGCCTCGATCCCTTATTAACTGCTTTCCCCAAGTTTATTTTTGCTATTTTGATTTGCCGGGATGTTCGATTTTGAATTTCGGAGCGTTTTGAGACACTTAGTCCCTAAATGAGAGCTTAAGTGTTGGAAAGTTAACCGTAGTCAGAACAATATGAAGACAGCCTCGGAATGGAAATCATATGGTTCTGTTAGCTCCGTTGGGTGATTTTGGGCTTAGGGGCATGTTCAGATTGTGTTTTGGAGGTCCGTAGCTAATTTAGGCTTGAAATGCCGAAAGTTGAATTTTTGAAGCTTCCGGTTCGATAGTGAGATTTTGATCTGAGGGTCGGAATGGAATTTCGGAAGTTGGAGTAGCTCCATAGTGTCTAATGTGACGTGTGTGCAAAATTTCAGGTCATTCGGATGAGGTTTGATAGACTTTTTGATCGAAAGCGTATTTTTAGAGTTTTTGGAATTCTTAGGCTTGAATTCTATGAAAAAAATAGGTGTTTTGAGCGTTCCAAAGGTTGTAACAAGTTTGAATGATGTTTTAGGATTGGTTGGCAGGGTTGGTTGAGGTCCCGGGGGCCTCGGGTGTGTTTCGAATGCTCAACGGAACATTATTGAACTTGGAAAGATTGCAGATTTTCTGTTGTTGTGTTGCAGAGGTAACATTCATCGCGTTCGCGTAGAGCATCTGGGGGAATCAGCTTAATCATGCTTCGCGTTCGAGATGAGGTCCCGCGTTCACGAAGGTATGGACCCATTGGTCTTCGCGTTCACGACATGGTCCTCGCGTTCGCGTAGTGGCTGCCAATGTGAGCTACGCGTTCCCGAGTGGACCTCGCATTCGCGAAAGAGGAAGTTGGCCAATAGATTTTTTTGTGCATCGCGTTCGCGATAGTAGTCTCGCGTTCGCGAAGAAGAACACGTCTTGGCAGAATATAAAATTTCAAAGTCGAGGGTTAGCCATTTTTGTGAAAACTAAAGCTTGGGGCTCGAATTTGAGCGAGGTTTTCAGGGATTTTTAGAGATATCGATTGGATAACGATTCTTAACTCCTTTTTGCTTGTAACCCATTAATCCAAACACGAATTCATCATTTAATTTCGGATTGGAGATGAAAATTGGGGAAAAGTTGGAAGAAAGTTCTTAGACATAGAATTCCACTTTTGATTGGGAATTTGACCCTAGATTTGGATAATTTTGGTATGCATGAACTCGGGAGAGTGTGAGGATTCTGAAAATATAAATTTTACCCGATTCCGAGATGTGGGCCCGAGGGGCGTTATGGTCATTTTACCTAATTTTGCATATTAACTTAGAATTTCTTTGTAGAATCAGTTACTTGAAGTGTTATTTACATTATGCGATTGAATTGAATAGATTTGGGCCATTTGGAGTCGAGTACTCGTGGCAAGAGCATGGTTTCGGGTTGATTTTGAGCCGGTTCGAGGTAAGTGGCTTGTCTAACCTTCTGGGGGGGAGGGACTTTCCCCTTAGGATTTGGTATTGTGATAATTGAAATACCTTATACGTGAGGTGATAAGTGCGTACTTGTGCTAATTGTTAAAAATCCGGTTTTCATTAAGTAACTTTAATTGTGTTTTCCCTTTCTATTTATTCTACTTGCACTTTTAAACCTGCTGTTAGTTAGAGAAGCATGTCTAATTGACTTAATTGCTTTATTTGTTTTAACTACCTTATTTGTATTATGTGAAGCATTCTAGGTTAGAAATTGTCTGTGTTACCTTGTTATGAAGTTGAGTTTATTTGAGTATTCCTTGTGCCATTGTTGTGTGTTTTACTTTGGTACTACAGGACGGCATCCTGTGAGATCCCCTGTACGCATTTACGATTTGAGCGGAAGTGCGGGATACCGAGAGATCCCCATAACGTATATTGAGGATACCAAGAGATCCTCGGGATACCAAGAGATCCCTAGCATATATGGAGGATACCGA